ATCAGAGATGTGCAATTGTATGATTACTTGTAACAAAAAATCATCAACAAACTCGACATACGGTGTTCTAACACGGTTAATAATTTTAAAAAAGATTAACTATAAATCTACAGGAGAAGTCTATAATATTGTGGTAATTACTATTAATTTTCAACTCGGGTTTAATTTCTTAATTTCTAACGCAAATCCACCCAAACTCTCACTCTACAACAGAGAGTAGGCAGCGTTGATCGGATATGAACGACTGAAACTTGGTAGTAATAAAGTTAAAACTGCAATATATCATTATTGATGTTAGCTAAGCGTAGTCACACGTTTTGATGCATCAACTGAGTAACCAGCTCATGTCAGTAATCTAAAATCTTGTTTGCTTATGGCATCACGGGAAAGCACTTACTTCATTTCTGTGGACTCTTCTTTACATAAAGAGATAGCAAAACGCTGTAATATTCCAGCACTCTCCTCAATATTTTAGCTGTTTGAATTTAATTCAGGAAGTTCTCGAATCTTCCTGGAAATTTCAGTAATTGCAACATTTTCGCTATGTTCGTTGGACCAATGAAAATGGTCCATCGACAGTAGCCACAATGGTCATTTGTAAGGGTCACAATTTTTTCAATCTTTTTGATACCTCGTTTGTCCGTTTTTTTTTTGTTTTGTTTTTTTTTTTTTTTTTTTGTTTTTGCCTTTTCTTTCAAAATTGCTTTGTTGGCAGATGGAAAAACGTAATCGACTGTCAAATTTTCTTCATAGTCATTATAATTATGTATGGTCTCGTGGCCTTTATTGGGTGATAAATTTAAATTTTAATGTCTCAATGAATTTTACGATTTTTTTATTTCCTAACACAGCTTCTGCTTTTTATGTTAAAATTTCACCCATTTATACAATTTTCAATGCATCAGCCTACTAGTCTAATCATATGTTTTCTTCTTCTTCATCTTCTTCTTATTATTAATAGTAGTAATAGTAGTAGTAGTAGCAGTAATAGTCATAGAATAGTTGTTTGGTAGTCGCCGCTATTTTCAGCGAGTTCAAAATTCCAGTTCCTTCTTTATTACACTCAAGGAAATCAACAATTCTTGGATTAGAATTGTCTTCGTTTTTTTCTGGGTCTGTAGTTCTTTCAATTTCTTCTTAACCACCTCTTTTTTCAATTTCTTCTTCATTCCCTTCTTCTTCTACTACTTCTTCTTTTTCTTCTTTCTCGTTTTCCTTCTATCTTCTTTTTCTTCATATTATTATTATTATTATTATTATTATTATTATTATTATTATTATTATTATCTTCTCTTGGAATTTCGTTGTTTTCATCTATAGGTCTTCATCTTTAGCCTTCTCCCACTTCTTTACCCGACATTATTTTTCTTATCCTTCCGACTCTTCTTATCCTTATTTACTTTCTTCTTCTTCTTCTTCTTCTTTTTCTTCTACTTCTTTTTCTTCTTCTTCTTCTTCTTCTTCTTATTATTATTATTAGTAGTAGTAGTAGTAGTAGTAGTAGTAGTAGTAATCGTCATAGAATAGCTTTTTTGTAGTCACCGCTATTTTCAGCGAGTTCAAAATTCCGGTTTCTTCCTTACTATTCTCAACAAAATCTACAGTTCTTGAATTTAAATTGTCTTCATTGTTTTCTGGATCTGCAGTTCATTAAATCTTTTCTAGCAGAAAAAAAAAATCAGGTTTCAGATTTAATTTGTTTGACGCTAGTGAATCTGGAATATTCCCCTGGTTCAAATATATCTACCCCGTGGCTGACAACGAATTAACTTATTCTAACTTACTATTCAGTAATTTATATATGCCATTGACTTTACTGTGTTTTCTTGTAACAGTTACACGACGTGTGACCTCCACCCTCCATAAACCATGAGAAAGAACAACTGATATATATATATATATATATATATATATATATATATATATATATATTATATGCTCCTGAAAAATTTATTTCCCTTTGAGCTTTCAGGGAGGAAGTGTAACTTTGTAAACAGTGACTATTACTGCTAATAATGCAAGACTAGGGATTTATTACCTATTTATATATATATATATATATATATATATATATATATATATATATATATATATATAAGGGGACACTGAAGTTAACATCAAGGGCAACAGAGTGTTACATACTTGAAAGACATCTTCAGATCATGTCAACCGCCTTAGTTAACGAGAAGTGCTGCTAAGGGCATTCTTCAACCGATTGAAAAGGAGTCAATGATAGGAAAATGTAATAGCGGTTCGATTTCTGTGGTGTGTTCATTTTTCTTCGTGATCTAGGCCGGTTGACCATTATTTTAATGTTTACATTCATGAAAAGTACACAGTTGCTACGTCGATCACGTAAATGGCGTTTATATATATATATATATATACATATATATATATATATATATATATATATATATATATATATATATATATATATATATATATATATATATATATATATTGAAAAAAAGACAACCGCAAAGTTTTTGGGTTCCAATGCGGATTTCTTTTAGTGTATATATTATATAATTATTCTTCATATACATTTAATTTGCCTGAAGAAGGTCACGAAAACCCGTGTCATATATATATATATATATATATATATATATATATATATATATATATATATATATATATATATATTTTTTCAGCGACATAAATATTCTAATAAACAGTATTAACAGCATTTACAGGTCTAAATATCCGATAAACCCCATAGAAATTATATCCTCCAACAGTAATCGAACCTGTATCCTACACAAAACCGTCATATTACTTGACGGGCTAAACGATTTACCTACAGAGGAAGCGTCTGGTTAGCACGTCAGCCTATATGACGGTTCCGTGTGATATGCAGGTTCGATTCCTGTCGGTGGCTCATATTTCTATAAGGTCTCTCGGACATTCAGGTAGATAAATGTTATTAATACTGTTTATTATAAATACAACATTTACTTAAATGTTTGCATCTATAAAAACAGAAATATATTAAAATAACTGTCAGACTTAGTAAATTGCATAACATATACATATATATATATATGTGTATATATATATATATATATGTGTGTGTGTGTGCGTGTGTGTGCATATGTATGCATGTATAGATAGATAGATAGATAGATAGATAGATAGATGTGAATGAACTAAGATTTTGTATTTAGTGAAATTAATATTTTAAGACAATGCATTCATTAATTCATAAATTCAATAAATATTTAACGTATATCTATGTCTTTTATGCCTATATATATATATATATATATATATATATATATATATATATATATAGAAATACACAACATACATATATATATGCATGTGATAGAATATACACACACATACACACACAGATATATATATATATATATATATATATATGGGGATGTGTTTATTGTCGCGTTCTCTTGATTATCGTCATGTTAGAAGTTTTTATACTCATTGTAATCTATTCTCACAGACACATAGATAGATAGATAGATAGATAGATAGATAGATAGATAGATAGATAGATAGATAGATAGATAGATAAGAAGAGAGCTCGATAGATAGATAGATAGATAGATAGATAGATAGATAGATAGATAGATAGATGTCACGTTATTGAATGTTCTTTGTATCAGGTAAAAAGCACCTCTGAAATTAATTCTCGTGTCGTGGGTGATTTATTAACCGAACGTACCAATGCCATTATCTCGATATAAACTTATCATATATTTATTCCAATTGCACTGATAAGATCTACGTCTATTCGCCTTGGCTCCTCTTATCATATATCATATTCACATTAATGTCAAGCGATATACATGCTTTTTTTTCCCACGGATGCGTATATTGATAAGTTTGATATTTTATACTTACATATGTGTGATGCCCCAAATGACTGACTTAATGAATGGATGTTGGAATATATACAGGATGGTAGGTTGACACGATATTTGTTAATATTTTTAATAGATTACTCTAAAGGCGAAACAAATTAATGTTTTTAGGTCTATGAATATAAAGCTATCACGTGAAGTCTGGCACAAGGCTAAATATTTGGGCATTAGGTAGATAACATTGATTTGCACCGAAGTGACTATTCTAAAATCCTGTGTGTGAAATAGATTTGAACTCCCATTGACAACGTCGATCGTAAACCCCTGTTTATTTGCAACGAAAACTGCTTAATAAATACACAGGGTGCAATGGATAAATTGTCGTCTAAGTGACGCAAAAAGGAAAATAACACTGACATCTCATTTTAAAAGATATATTTAGCAAATTTACACAAAAAATATCTTGAAATGCTAAAGCGGAAATTTATTCAATAAAATCGTCATTGGCTTCAACTACGGCCTACAGATGACTTCGGAATCTCCTGCTACTCTTCTGGGTAGTCTTCTCGTTTAAGTTGCTGCCATAATCCTTGCCTTCAGTTCGTCGTTGGTGTTACAAAGAGTGTTTTTAGTCTCTCGCACAACTTGGCCCCACACATAATATTCAAGGGGCCACATGGTCGCAGATATTGCCTGACAGTCATGACTGTGTTCTCCTGTTTGTGTGGCATGGTGCAGAGTACTATAGGATCTTCCAGCAGCCACCCTCTTGACCCATGGAGGAACTACCTCTTCATGCCATTTAATATAGACCTCCATGTTGAGTGTGAGGCCCTGCGGGAAGATGCATAAAGGCATAACTTCGTCATCACTAGTGATCACTCTAAACACCTTAATGCTGACTGGCTATATCATTCAACTCTTTCTGATTCCCCTGCACTGTCCTCAGATTGCCACCCCAAAACTCTGAAATATTACTATTGGTTCTCCCGGTGAGAATGCCAAGTAGGTCCAGCATGCTGTTTCTAAATTTCTGGCCGGGTGAATTGCATCTGGGTGCTCTTTTTTGCTCAACTGACTATACTGTGCAGCCGACAAAATCAAAAACAATGAGATTAAAAATATAAAATGGCGACAATTTAGCCGTTCGCAACCCCGTATTAGGGTCTTTAAATGTTGCATTTTACCCTGCAGTTTTCTTCATTAATTTATTCTGATTTTTTGTTTTTTTTTTCATTTTTCTTTCTTTCTGTCCTTTCCTTTTCTCCTCTTCCCTTGCTTTTATTCGTCATTTATTTTTTCTTCTTTCCATGTTTTTATTCATTAACATCATTCCTTCTTTTTTTATTCATCAATATCATTCCTTCTTTTTTATTCATCAATATCATTCCTTTGTTTTTTATTTTTCAATATCACTCCTTCTTTTTTTATTTTTCAAGATCATTTCTTCTTTTTTTATTTTTCAAGATCATTTCTTTTTTTTTATTCATCAATATCATTCCTCCTTTTTTTACAATACGATTCCTTCTTTTTTTATACATCAATATCATTCCTTCTTTTTTTATTCATCAATATCATTCATTTTTCTTAATTCGTTTCTCTTTTCTTCTTTTATTTATTCTCTTGAGTCTTTTACTCTTTTTATTAATTCATTCTTCATTCTTCATTCTTTTGTCCCCATATCCTTTTGTCTCCTTTACTAGATTTTGCCCTCGGCTTTTCTTCCTTCTGATACCCATTCTATCTATTTATGAGAGAACTGATTATTAAAAGAGTTGTTGAATTAAGCAAAAAGATCCTTCGAAATAAATTGCAAATAAAATTATGGGGAGATATTTTTATATTTTCTATTCGGCCTCGTTTTCAAATATATATTTTTTCATTTTGTCAATTTTCCCGGGAATTACTTTATTTGTGCCTTTCTTCCTTCTTTCATTTATTGTTTTATTTATTCTTTTCATTCATTAAACTTTCGCTCTCATTTATTCATTTTCTTCCAACGAAAATATTCAATTTTTTTTCTTTCTTAATTGTTTTCCTTCCAATAAATATTGCTTCATCTTTACCACTTATTTTCTTTCTTTTTTAAATCAATTCCCACAAAGCAAGGTGATAATGCCGCTAAGACGCAAGGAACTACTGTGGGTGAAAGAGAATGAAAAGAAAGCTCAATCCTTAGTAATCAAGAGTGGTCTCCTTTTGTTTTGTTACTCTCCACTTTTTTTACTCTCCTCTTTGTTTACTGGGACTATAAAAGGACACTATACGCGAACCTTGTATTCTCCATTAAATAAAGCTTTCTCAAACCTTATACCTGCGTATTTTTGCCATTACAATTTGCTCAACAGACCGGGGTTGATTTTTTTTTTCTTATATTCATATTCGTTCTTTTTCTATTCATTCTATCCTATTTTCTTTCCTTTCTAATTTTCTTCTTCTTTCTTTCTTCTTTTCTTTCTTCTTTTCCCTCCTTTTTGCTTGTTTGCTTTGTCTTTTTTTTTCTCATTTGCTTTCTTTCAATATTTCTTCGACTTCTCTTTCTTTCACGTTCTGACTTTTTCGTTTACTTTGTTTCTCTTCCTTTTTCTTTCTTTTATTCTTCCCTTCCGTTCACCATTTCTCTATTTTCTGACATCATTGTTTTCTCTTTTTGTTTCATCGTTAATGTTTATACCCTTATTTTTTTTGTCTTTTCTATAAAGGCCTATTACTTCAGTCCATTTAAGCAAGTCATTCATCCGGTTTTTAAATAATAACTCATGTTTTTTTTCCGCAACACTTTAATACTCAAAAATGCACCCCTTTCCACCATTGAAGTAAAAATACTGACTTTCTGTCCTTAGATTTCGACTTGCCTTTTATTTCTTTTATCCCTAACTACTATTTTGTTCCTAAGTTTCAAACATTGTCTCAGCCATTGTAGCTAAATATTTTTTTTATGAATATGGTTGAAGCATTTGAATGGAGAATGCGCGCTGAGAATTGAAAGGCGTCTTCGGTCACACACAAAAATCGGACATTTTAAGAGAGAACTGATTATTAAATGAGTTGTTGAATGAAGCAAAAGATCCGTCGAAATAAAATGCAAATAAAATTAAGGGGAGATAACTCATTTGCTTTTATATTTTCTATTCAGTTTATTTTTCAAATATATATTTTTGTCATTTTGTTCATTTTACAGGATTTTTATTTATTTTTTTTTTTTTTTGCCGTTGTATAATTCATACATTTTTTTAGCATTTTCCTTTTCTATATTTTCATTTTCGTTTTTTCTTTCTTTTCCTTTCTATCTTACATTTTTTCCTGCTTTTTTCTTTTCTTCATTTTTATTTCTCTCTTTCATTCTTTCTTTAGGTATCTTTCTTTCTTGAATTCTAGAATCAAACTCGAATAATTTCTTGTTTGTTTTTTTTATTTTTATTTTGTCGACTGCACAGTGTAGTAGAGTCAGTTGCGCACCATCTGTGAGAAAAGAAGCACCCTGACACAATTCACTCTGACAGAAATTTGAAAACGTCATGCTGTAGTGGGTGGTGTTCTGACTCAACATGGAGGCCTACATAGAGTGCCTTGAGGAAGTACTGCTGTCCTGGGTCAAGAGGGTGGCCGCTGAAAGATCTTATATCTAGCAATATGGCTCTGCAGCATGTCACACAAGCAGAACACAGTCATGGCTGTCAAACAATTTCTGCTACCTGACGTGCTTTTACCAATTGAGCCACAGAGGAGCGTTTCGGTTAGCAAGGTCGATTTTACTGTTTTCAAACTACAATTCTCCATGATGTTCTCTCGTACATCCATATCTGCTCATGGCGTATCCAAATGGTTGGCGATGTCTGTGTCTGGTTGAAAATAATTAATCCCTGCAAGGACACTTAAACGTTTTCAAATGTCTAGCCTGAAAAGTGAGGATTGCGAAGCTCCATCCAGATATGGTAGCAATTCTCCGTTTTTTATCTAATCTGATTAAAAACAGAGTTCTTTCGGTAGCGTCATAAGGAATCGACCATTTTTTGCAGCATCTTTATCGACGGATTGTTCATATGAGTTCTACAACTAGTTGGAGCCTGAGTCCCGATAGTAACACATATGACATTATGCTAAAGATCTGCTCGATGCATTTGTATATTTGGGATGAAGATTTATAATGAGTTAATTTGAGAATTGCTTTTATATTTGTTGTTTTCTTTTCTCCTCTATATATTACATCAGGTGACTATACGAGGGTGTTTTTTTCCCTTAAACCTCTTGCATTTGTTGAGGTCTTTCTTTTTATGTGCCATGTCCTTTCAGGAAGTAGGCGATCATGGCTCTCCATTTCCCTCTATCCCTTGTAGCTCTCAATAAGTTTTGTTCCTCTGCCAACGCCCTTAGACCACGTAGTGTCATCCACTTGCTTAAGCCCGGGTATTGCTTAGGTATGTCATGCGTTGCTTTCTCTTGACCCTCTTTCCCTCTAATCGACCTGTGAGTATCAGATTCTCCAGGCCCTACTTTGTAAACAGTTCATTGTAGAATTCGAAGTTGTGATACCAGTCTCTTAATTCATACCTTTCCTAAGGATATTAGCACGTAAGTGAATATAATAGATTTATCTGGAAATAGAAGTTGGCTGTCCGTTTCCTCAATCGATTAAGCCGCTATTCATTACTCCACCGTGCCTCCTGAATTAATGTTACTTATACAAATAACATTAATTCAGTTCCGTAATTGAGCTGAAATTCATTCAGGGTACCCAGATTCATTCAGGGTACTCAGATTTTTTCATGGTACCTAGATTCATTAAGGGTACTCAGATTCACTCAGGGTACTCAGGTTCATTCAGAGTACCCAGATTCATTCAGGTTACGCAGATTCATTCAGGGTACCCAGATTCATTCAGGGTACTCAAAAATCAAAAATGCTCACTTGGCTTTATTGGACTTGATCCAGGAATATAAGAAACGCTATAAATGAAAATGCCGACAACAGGGATTGAAATGACAATTTTAACTTACAAAAATAATGGAAATATAAAATAAATAAATCTAATAAGTTAAATATTAAATATCTATTTAAATGCTATTGAATATTATTTAAATGGGAAAATTAAGAATCTCCAGTTTTCCGAGTTTTTAAAATAAATTATCTAAAATTCTAAAAAAATTACATGTCATATACAACTTATTCTTCGCAAAAGATGAAAATCGTTCGTGAAGAATTCTGATATAGCAAACGAAAAGTCCATTTCATATATTGCATGCCAACTCTCAAATCTGTGACCACGCTACAGTTATCTCAAATCATCTATCATTCCGTTTTAAAATCCAAGGGGAACAGGGATTGATTGAAAATACAGACAGTATTTTTTTTCCTTCTAGAAGCCCTGAATATTTTTCACGTCTAGGGAGAATGAAAGCACAAAAACGAACTGCAGTTACTTAAAATATAATTGTACACTATTTCCTGCTATGACAAGAAATGATTGATTGTAGAAAAACCTTACATGATTCGGTTTAATTCAGATTGCCCCTTTTCTTTCTCGTAAGTAAAGAAAAACAGATTCCAAATTAGTTACTATGTGACGAATTTCCTCTCCCCCGTAAAATGGCTTTTTTTTGTCTGTTTAATGACCCTTGCTTTCGATGCTGTAAAATAAGCTAATATGAATATTTATTTTTAAACCTTAAACCACGCGTGCCATTTTAAGGTGCAAAAAGATTTGAAACACTGACGAGCCCGAAGAACACAGGGAAAAGTATATCTAAGTAGTCGGTCTTTGCAAGGTCACCCGGAGCTTTCCGGTTTTAATGTTACCCTTCATTTTCAAAAAGATGTTCAATGAGGCAAATTTTCTATTTATTTACGCGGATGATGCGAATTAAAATTCGATAACTTGACGAAATTTGATCAAATGTTGATATTTTTTTATATTCGTTAACTATAATATATATATAAGACTTCCAAAGAAATAAAAGATAACATACACTTAACACACACACATCCCATTCCCAGCAACAAATAAAATTGTAAAAGTGACAAAGTAAGCAATCTCCCTCCTCTAAAGAACAACTTAAAAAAGGCCGTTTGACCAACACAAAGACTGACAAAAATTAACGATAAAAAACAAATGAAAACTACAGATACAGTTCATTTTCTTCAGAAAGTCATTCATTCCTTTAATTCACTGTAACTAACAAGCAGAATTTTGTTTTCTCCTGATGATGGCCATGCTGGCCGAAACTAGTCTAATTGAAATAATAAAACAAAATATATTAATACACAACCCAGTGTGTCTAAAAAATTGATTTTTTTTAAATTTCTCAATATTATTTATTGTTCAATATATATATATATATATATATATATATATACGTGTGTGTGCACGCGCGTGTGTGTGTGTGTGTCTGTGTGTATGTGTACGCATGTGTGTTTCTATATATATATATATGTGTGTGTATGTATATATATATATATAAATAATAATAATAATAACAGATCCCTTATCTAAAATCCAACAATACAAAACAGCACTAATGCAGAGAGAAATAATTTAAAAAATATTAAAACCAAGTCTAAGAGCAGATTCTCTTCAAGCCAAAACCATGAGGTGATAGGATGGGGCAATAAATTTCATCGACGATGCCAACTTCTCCTCAGATATCCCAAGATATTTCTCCTTGCAAATTCTTTGTCGTTCTTTCATTATCAAACTGAAGAAATCAAAGAAAACAAACATTTTCTCCGGCGGTGAAACGCGTCTTTGATAAAAAATAAAAAGAAGGACTTTC